AATTGTGAAATAATGGGAAATATAGCGACAGAATATATATAAAGAAGATATTGAAACGTACACAAGTTTTGCAGCTACATTTGAGAGAGACTTGAAGGAAGAGAGCTACCAGGAGAGGAGCATAGATCAAGAATAAAAAAAAACTTTAACTTGGGGGTAATTTTTGTGAATAAACGCCAGCACTAGCGTACAGGCTTCAATAACTAAAAACATGTACGGAAACAATCCAAGTATTTTAGAAAAATGCATAATTATTTGTTTTCTGTAATTCCAGCACAACCAAACGCTTAAGCGGCACCCATATAGTATAACAGCTGAGCTGGCAATGTTACCGTTAACGCACAAGGATCGCAGCAATTTAAGCTACCGCATCAAGGAAAAGCTAAACAGTTGGAAGCGGCTCATATTTTCCGATCGCAATTCGAGAAATCTATTTCTCTTTCTTTTACTTAACTTGAGTTTTGCGTTCGTGGAGCTCTTCTATGGCATATGGACAAACAGTTTAGGTGAGCGTGGGTCTAACGATAGTATTTGGTGATACCTATGATCGTTTGCCATGGCTATTAGGGCTATCTATTTACTTTCAACTAATCTTATCTACGCTTAAAAAACTTACTTGCCTTGATATTATCATTGCTGGCAATAAAAAAAGAATTCCACAAACGTGTTCACGTGCACTTAATAAAAGTTTGTGGGCAATTCACGTCTTTAGTTGACACATAACATTTACATTTAAGCAACTGAATTATTAAGAATATCAAAGTTGTTAATCAAATACCTTTTTTTTAGTAGATTGTTGCCGTAGAGTTGAAAAAGGGCCAGTTTATCAATGCACGGCCGTAGTTTACACTCATTTTAAACGCCCGATCTGGCTGGTTTAAACTAAGANAAAGTTGTTAATCAAATACCTTTTTTTTAGTAGATTGTTGCCGTAGAGTTAAAAAAGGGCCAGTTTATCAATGCACGGCCGTAGTTTACACTCATTTTAAACGCCCGATCTGGCTGGTTTAAACTAAGACCAGCCAATCAAATGTCAGCCAGATGTTCAATTTAAACTCAGTTTACTTAATCTAAGTTTAAACTGGCCCTAAAAAGGTTTAGAGAGCGGTAATCAAGTGACAGTCTTAAAACAGGGCTCGAATCGTCACATACGATGTCGTATTACTCGTCACGAAAAAAACATATTTTTCGTATTATAATATACATAGTGAACGCTTTCTTTATCCCATTCAGCTTATACGACTGACGTATAACGTAATTTTCTTTGGTATGGTTTTCGATCTGTGTACAGATGTTACGAGCCCTCGATACCACATTGAAATTCGTATTATTTTTTTAAATTGTATTTGCGAACAAAATATATTCAGTTATTTTATTATAAAGCCATTGGTAAAGTGAACGCTCTTTTTTATTTGCTCACTTATTTTCAAGCATTTAAATAAAACCATTTAGGCCATAAAACTGGTTCATTGATACATACATACATATTGTCGTTCAAAGTGCAAAACCGTGTATCGTGGTGCTGCAAAACCGCGTAACTGACATTTGTGACAAAAATGAGATTTTCTCCCCGAAAGCTCCTTGTAAATAACTAGCCTAACATGGGTAAATGGTTTTGTACTTTAACCGGCCATATGCATTTACTACTAGTATTTATGAATCAATCTAAAATTTTACAAATCGCCATTTATTAAAAAGCTCTTACAACTAAAAAAAAACAGAATTTTCAAGCTAAGCATGCAGAATTACTACAACATGCTTCATCGTGTGTAAAAACCTGTTTTAGTTTTCGCGTAAGAATATATGCATTTCTATTTTCTGAATTTTTTGAGTGCAAATTGAAAACTTTAAACGCATCTCCTGAAAACTTTAGATTTTTTTTTTAGTAAATAATACGTATGTAAATGCATTCACATAGATAATGTAGAAATTCATATTTCTGTTTTTATCCCATTTTATAATCATAGGTCTCATATCGGACTCGTTTCACATGTTCTTCGACTGCACGGGTCTGCTCGCTGGTCTAGCAGCCTCAGTGATCACCAAGTGGAAAGCTAACGATAAATTTTCTTACGGCTATGTGCGTGCAGAAGTGTTAGCCGGCTTCGTGAATAGTCTTTTTCTACTCTTTATTGCTTTCTTTATTTTATCTGAGGGCGTAGAGCGTTTAATTGAACCACCAGAAGTGAAACACGAACGGCTGTTTGTAGTATCCGTGCTCGGACTGCTGGTAAATCTGGTTGGTATATATGCATTTCAGCACGGTCATGGGCATTCTCACGGAGGTGGCGGTGGACATGGTCACTCCCATGGTGGTGGTGGTGGTGGTGGGGGTCATGGTCATTCACATGGTGTAAACAATCACATTGACTTGAATAATCACAATCATCAAGCGATAAATTTGGATGGCAGTAGGTGTACAAACATACATAAATACTTGCGTTTCTTTTTAATTTATAAGTATCTTTACAGGCCATAGTCATAGTCATGGCGGTGGGCATGGTCATTCACATGGGCTCACCGATGATATGTCTGGCAGCAATTCTCAAATCATGCGTGGTGTCTTTCTACATATTTTAGCCGACACGCTTGGCTCGGTAGGCGTTATCATTTCGGCGGTGCTAATGCAAATATTCGGTTGGATGATTGCCGATCCGATTTGTTCAATATTTATTGCTTTGCTTATTGCCATGAGCGTGCTGGGTCTGATAAAAGAATCAATACTTATATTAATGCAGCGGCAACCGTCAGCGTTAGATCGCGCGCTGCCACAATGCTATCAAAAGGTGACGGGATTGGCTGGCGTTTACGCCGTACAGGATCCACATTTCTGGACATTATGCTCAGATGTCTATGTGGGTGCTATTAAGTTGGAAGTTTCCAAAAATGTGGATCCCAAATATGTGGTCACACATGCGCGCATGATCTTTGAATCTGTAGGAGTAAAGCAGATTTACATTCAGCTGGACTATGTGTGATAGCGATGGACTATAATAGATCGGATCGGGCCGGGTTGTTGAATAAACTTTCGTTTTTATTTTTAAAAGCGGCTAAAATAAAAGAGGAAGAAAAATGAGCATTCGAATAATTAACCTGTTATTCAGTTCATTGCGAGGGCGGGCAATCGAAAACGGAAATTTTGTTTTAATCTTTACCTTAAGTTAATTTTGCAAAGCAGTTCACTCAACTGCTTGAGTAAACAGTTAAAATATTTTTTTCTACGTGTATAATGTGTAGATAATTTAGATAAACTTGAAAGAAACTGTTAACGATTAGAACTATGTTTTATACTTATTTACATACAATATTAACATATTTTGTTACATGATATGGTATTTATTTTAATATAATTGTGTGAATGTACGAAATAATGAATTGCAGATGCATATATAAAATAACGAAATTTTTAGTGAAATCATTCCAATTAAAGATTTAGTCGAAAATCGATCAATCCTTTTCCAACCACGAGTGATCAAATCCGTGACGAATACTTAAGAGCAAGTAATACATGTAAGTGCGTAAGCTCTTATAAAAAATTGCCATTTAACTGAAAATGAACAAAGCGGCTTGCTTTATTTCAATGAAGTTCAGCAAAATGTACATACAATGGTGTTTATAAAACAGCGTTATAGAAAAAAACGATATACGATGCTGCAAATAAATTTGTATACTTAATTAATAAGTAGTCATAAGTACGGATATTAATAAAAATTGAGAAAAATAAATAAAAATAAATACTTAACACTCTAATTCATACTTCATAAAGAAATTTTTCAAGACGAGTCCGATATCTGATCAGACGGAGTATCATCAGGAGTCCTCTACCAAAAATACATACATAAATATGNGTATACTTAATTAATAAGTAGTCATAAGTACGGATATTAATAAAAATTGAAAAAAATAAATAAAAATAAAATACTTGACACTCTAATTCATACTTCATAAGGTAATTTTTCAAGACGAGTCCGATATCTGATCAGACGGAGTATCATCAGGAGACCTCTACCAAAAATACATACATAAATATATGTCTTTAATAATGGAATATTGTGCGTCATTAAAATTATAAAGGCAAGTGAAAATACCTTTTCATCTAAACGTGGTATTTACTTTTGAATGAATTTGGCCCTCCAAAAGACAATGCAAACAATGCAAAATTACCTCCCGCTTTTTTATGGAAAAAAAGATAAATGGCAAGAAAATACTCCAGNCAAACAATGCAAAATTACCTCCCGCTTTTTTATGGAAAAAAAGATAAATGACAAGAAAAAACTCCAGCATGGTAACTGTTTTTAAAAGTTAAGAATCGGAGCTTGGTAAGTAATTGAAATAAACGCACGTCATAGTCAGGCTGCCACGTTTTACTGCCCTGAAACAGTATGTACAAGCTTATAAGTATGTCCTAAAGACTTATTCTAATAAATACAAATTACGTATCAGTAAATCTTTGTTATATTATAAAGTTAAAGATACATACATACATACATACATAATATGCATGTACACACGTCAACAAATTATTTCCCATACAAGGCATTAAAAGTATATTCGTGGTATAAGCAACAGATGGGTGTGTATTAATCCATGTGAGTACATTTTTATGCACAGTACTTGCTGATTTGATGACGAACACAAACAAATGTGTAATATAGAACACATACAGACACTCGACATTGCCATTGCTGCGCCTTGTTTCGTTGTACGCCAATGACCCTCTTAAATGTGTTGTTGTATCTATTACAAAATTATCAGCACAGGTAGATGAATTCTAAATGCGCTGTTATGTGGCTTGTTGACGCAAATTTCGTCTATCCGGAAAGCGAAGATTTTTCGGACTGACTCTAACGCCATTTTGTTAACGCTGCTGCAGACTGCATTGATGATGCGTTTGCTCACGCCAGCGATTGCATATGATCAAGATTTTTTGCCAACGACCTAATTATACTTTTGAGGTTATGTGCCAACACACATTTTGCAACAAATGAAAAATCATTTTTTCGTTTATGGTTTTTTCTTTAATTTGTCCGTAAAGTTCTTTTGCGTATTTTCTTTTTTCGTTTTTTATTTTTACAATATGCATTTTTTCGCTTGATGCTTTTTCTTACTTAAACAAATTAAAAGACAAATACCAAAAAAATTTATATATATAAAAAGTACTCGAGTATGTACGCTGCAAATAGAGTTCTTTCATTATTTACTAGGCTGTCATCGCTGCATTTGATAACTCGCGTAGCAGAACAAGCTAGTTGATTAGCATATATGAAGAGAAGTGTTCTTCACATTTTGTATAAAAATTAAAATACATAATTTTTTACTATAATGATTAGCATTACGGTTGAACAGATTATAGTATTCAAAGTTTGACCAAATATATATGTAGCAGCAAGTTCCAAGTGACACAATAATAAATTCGTGTCCGAACAAAACGAATATGACAAATGAATCATTACAATTGCAACTAATTGGTATTTACTAAACAAAATATAATTAGTATTAATGTATATGTGGTGTGGTTTTCGTTTTAGGTATCTATTTTTTAACACTTCTCTTCGTCGAGTCCATGCTTGAAGAACATGAGCACGGGTGTGCTGGTGCCGTCGATTTCACGGTATTCACACATGGCTACCATACCATCGCAGTCCATTGATTCGCCAGTGTAGAACTGCAAGTCTTTGAAGCGGCCAAGGATTTCCTTCATTACCTTATTCATGTTGGTCTTGAAAACTTCAATTTGATCGGGAGCATTCTCCTCCAACTTGGCCAGCACCTTCTTCATATAGTCTTTGAGGTAGAGTGTGAACGACTTTTTGTCACCGAATGCGAAGCACTCCTGGAGACGATGGTTTAAGACCACATCGACGCCAGATTCGACGGCGGAATCGGTGCCCTCATCGGCTTCTTCAGCCGATGGGTTGAAGCCATCGATATTTATTTCACCTTGAGAACGGGTGACTAGTTTACCGTAAACTTCGTAAATAACTTCATCCACCAGTTTCATTTTGTAGGTATCGGCAAACATTTCGTCACCGGTGATGCTATCCTTGTAGATTTTCATGTTTACGGCTGTTTTATTGGTCTGAAAAACTAGGAAAATTCGAGACTTCCGACTTTTGCACAAAATTAGTCACACCGAGCCACGCGCTCACGTCCACAGCAAACAACAAAAAGAAAGGATGGACACGAAGTGGTGTCAGAAAAATCACTGAAAGTAATAGAGTAGAATTAGTGCAAAGCGGAATATCAGAAACACACAGAGTTGTATTTTCTGAAGTTTGAAGTTTGAAGTTTGACAATTGTGAACGATTGCAATTTTTTTGGAAGCCTAAAGC